TGTAAACAGAAAACACAGTCTGAGCCAGCTACGGGGTTAGAACAGCAGCTCACGTGTCAACCACTGTGCTCCTCAGTAAATTTACTGCCTTCAGTCCCGACGCGAATACTTATTTTATATCGAACGTGAGAAATCTGAAAGGAGGGGTGTGTAAACCTGTCTAACCACCAATCTGAAACAATCCATCAGAATACCTGTGGTTTTCACGCCGTGTGGGTGGCGGTAAAGTCGGTGTGATGAGTAACTCCTTATTCGGTCGAGGAGCATGATTTAGTAAAAACTCCAGGAAGGAAATCGCCATATCAGAGCGCAGACACAGTGAGCACGCTCTCATTTCGCAACAGAAACTGCTTATCATGGCTCGTGACCAATCCACATTTCGAATGTCTGTCAGAGAAGCACATTGAATGAAGCGCAAAGGTTGCAACAACCAGAAAATAACGCATGGTTTTCTGTAGTATTTCCGATAGAGGAACTTTTATTTGCATTATCAAAACTTCCGCTTTGCGATACCGAACTCCCGCCGGTGTGTTCCTTACCTCTTTTACAGTGTTTATTCTAGTTTTTCGTTATTTTATGTAAAGAACTTCAAGCGAAATTGCCTTAATGTGCCAATATTCCTTGTTCACCAAAAATAAATAAATGTTTTAATTGTTTAAAAATCTCGTCCCTCATCGACCCATTGTTAGGATATGGATGGCTTCCGATGGCATACACTAGATTTACGATCTCATTAAATGTCGACCGAAATTTTGAATTTTGTTTTCCTTTGCACAAGATTATCCTAATTAAAGCTGTAATATTAACTAGCATACAGCATAATCCAAAAAATATTTCAGTCACACCGATGTGTTGGCCTTCAAGTGAGCTTCCTTCAGACGACCTGTGGGCATTAAACTGTAAAAACGAACATTTCCGGTGGTATGACTATTTTCCATCATCTATTTGCTTCTGGCCTTTCATCCTATGACGGCAGGGTAAATATGAACATATGAATATATACTTAGGTCTAATGTGAATCTTACTTTGTTAGCTTGGGATCAGGTTATCAATCAGTGTATCTCGTTTAGCTTAGAAACTCACATTAAAACAGCAGACAACCAGAAAATGCAACTCGCAATCACCTCCTCCTAGGATGCATCACTGCCACATCTGCAAAACAAAAGTTCAAACCTTGCTAAGGAACTCTTCCTCCGACTGTCAGATCAACAGTAGTAAGTTGGGGTCCGGTGTGGAATGGGACCAACTGCTTTTCAGCCAGTTGAGTGGCCTTCTTGGTTTAAATAGTATACCCATGAAACGTTCGCTACTGTTATGAGTGCAGACTATAGCGTCAAACAAATGCTAACTGATGTGATGTCTTGAGGAAAATTATTGCATTTGGTTTCCTGTTGTTTCGTTTTCTTAGTAATCCTGTCTAAAATCACTTGTCCATGCGTCCGTCAAATCCAAGGAGCATTGGTGATATGAGCTAATTATGTTTACTTGAAAAATTTAAAACAAAAAAATGTTCATAGATGAAATAGGAAACATATTAATCCGTGTAACCGACCGCCAGGAAAACCTCTTCACATGTAATGGCTTCGATTGTCTTTTAAATATAAGTTTCTACTAACGTTCCTATAATTAATCAATCAACGAGTCTTTTTGAAAACTC